AGGGGGAGGAGGAGGAGGAGGAGGAGGAGGAGGAGGAGGAGGAGGAGAAAGAAGAGGAGGAGGAGAAAGAAGAGGAGGAGGCTTGGGTCCCTGCTCCGTGGGCGGGGGCCCCTCGCCCTCGGCGCAGGGCGGCGCAGGGCGGGCGGCGGGCGGCCCGGGCACACGAAGCGGGGGCCCTCTCCGCCGGCGCAGGCCGGCGGAAGGAAGGTGCAGTGCAGGGGGGACAAGAACACACACAGACCCAAGTAATCGTCGATCCCCCAGAAGACATGGGAAAAGATGGGAAGTGGGGGGGAAGAGAAACACCCAGAAGATATGGGAAAAGATGGGAGGTGGAGGGGGGGGAAGAGGAAAGCCCAGAAGCTATGGGAGAATATGGAGGGATCCTGCTATTTTGTCTGTATTTCTCTGTGTGTGTGTGTGTGTGTGTGTGTGTGTGTGTGTGTGTGTGTGTGTGTGTGTGTGTGTGTGTGTCCCAGGGCCCCTTCCGAGCGGCGGCGCGCCAGGGGGGGGGGGAAAGCGAGACGGGGCGGGACCTGGCGGTGCGGAAGGCTCGGAAGCCCCCCGGCCCTCGGAGAAGTCTTCGAAGCCTTGCCCGGAGGCGCGGCAGAGCTCCTCGTGAGGCCAGGGGGGGCTTCTGAGAGGCCCCGCCGCCCTCCGCGGAGGCCTTCTCCTGCTCACTGCCCCCCCCTCCCCCCTCGCTCGCCGCCGATATCCGAAGAGAGGCCATCTGTGCTGACATGTGTCTGGAGCGTGCCAGTTATCTTCCAAGAGGCTGGATACACATGATGAGGCCAGCCCGTGCGAGAGCTCGGTGCTCGACCTCTGTGCGCCCGTGCAGGCCAGGATGTTGCGCGCGTGTATCCAGCGCGTGGCCTCCAGGTGTGACTTCAGGCGCGTGTGCGTCCAGTTTCTGGGCGGTCTCACTCCAGGGCCCGTTGGGCCCCGCATCCGAGGCCTCTGCAGAGGTGCGCGGCAGGACCGAAGCTCCGCCGCGCGGCGCAGCGCCCGGCTGCAGAGGTTGCCTGGCCAACTAGCTGCAGCGCCGGGCGCCCGCGGCCGCGCTGTGCGCCAGCTGTCGCGAGTCGAAGAAAGCGGCGGTGCTTTCCGCGCCTCTGCTCGGCGGCACAGGGCGCAGCGTCGCCGCAGCCGGGCCGCCGCGCGGCCCGACGGGCCGTCGGGACGCGGGGCCGAGGGCCTCAGAACTTGGCTGCGGCGGGCCCTGCTCGTCTCAAGCTCGTCGGATCGCCCGGGGTCGGAGTCCCAGAGGTCGGCACCACCACCGACGTCGGCGGCGTGCATCGGCCGAGGGGAGACGATCCCGAACTCGGCGATGGCGGTAATACTCGAAAGCCTACATTTACAGGCGGCCGAAGTGGATGCGAGGAGCCAAAACCGCAGCGCATAATCCAAATCAAAAAGGATCGTCCCTCCCCTGGGCGACGCCGTAGGCCCCCTATCTCCCTCCGGTCCTCCTCCTCCTCCTCCTCGCTTCCTCCTCCTTCCTCCTCCTTCCTCCTCCTCGCTTGCCTCCTCCTCCTCCTCCTCCTCCCCCTTTTGGTTCCTCCTCCTCCCTCCTCCTCCTCCTCCTCCTCCTCCTCCTCCTCCTCCTCCTCCTCCTCCTCCTCCTGCATGTCCAGGCCTCCAGTGGGGGGGAGGCTCCGAGCTGGAGCGCCTTCTCGGCAGTCCGCCTCGAGATCAGCGCCCGATCTTCGCGATGCCTCGGGCGCACGGGCGGCCGGCTGGTCGAGCCCGCCAGCGATGGGCCTCAAACAGGGCTAGGATCGGGATAAATCGCTCCAGAGCGTTCCGAGGCGCTCTCAGAGCGTTCCAGAACGCTCTGGAGCGGCCGCGGCGCCCAGTACATCCTCCAAACCCGCCGATTCTCCGAGATTTCGAGGTATCCCGATCCAATTTTGTCCCGATCTTCGCGTCGTTTTAGGGCCCCCCGTGAGCCCCCCCCTCTCGTCACCTGTGGTCGCCGCGCTTGTGGGGGCGGGCGCCGAGCAGCGCGCCGTCCTCCGCCGCCACCCCTCGCGGAGCGCCGGCCGCGCGCCGCGCCTGCCTCGCGGCGCGGCTTCTCGGCGAGGCGCCGCCGCGGGCACGGCAGTGCGGGGCCCGTGCCCGTGGCCGACGCCCGTCGCCGCCAACACCACGGCGGTCGCCGTGCCTCAAGGGAGGAAGATATAACGACGCGAAGATCGGGACAACATCGGATCGGGATAGCTCGAACTCTCTGAGAATCGGCGGGCTTGGAGGACGTATTGGGCGCCGCGGCCGCTCCAGAGCGTTCCGGAACGCTCCGAGAGCGCTCCGGAACGCTCTGGATCGAGTTATCCCGATCCTAGCCCTGTTTTACCTGTCTCAAGGGAGGAAGAGCCACCAACCACCCAGACCGGACAAGTGGCGTTTGCTAAACGGCCCTGGGAGTTCGCTAGAAGCCCTGCCCTGTTCGATTCCTGCTCTGGGCGCGTTGGCTCAATGCCTCGCGTGTCGGGGTGGTTCTTATCGGGATGGATGTTCTGCCCTCCAGTGTCTGCCTGCTCCAGCTGGGGCGGATGCGTCTTGGGATTCCCCTGCTGCTTTTCAGGCCGACTCGCCGTGCCGCCCTGCGTCTGCGGCTCGGCGTGGTTCTAGCGACTCGAGGTGCCGCGCGGGTTGCTTCCCGGCTCGAGCCTAGCCTTCCGTTCCGAGTTGCTGCTGCTGCTGCATCCCAAGTTGTGCCTCCCCGCAGCTGGTGCTGCCCCGTTCTCGTGGCGGTCACGAGGCTTCGCCGCACGGGAAGCGCGGATTGTAATGGGACGCTCTGCTTTCATCTGCTCATCTGCCTTCTCCCAGGTGCGCCTCTTGGAGCTCTGCGCCCTGCGTCCGCCAGGGTCCAGCCGCGATCCGCGCTGGCGTCAATTCTCGCACCACCGGAACAGATGCAACATACCAGAATAAGCCCAGGGGCTCGCCCTTGATCTCTCGCCGAGGCGTCTGCACGCCCTCCAGAGCCCTGCGGGGCAGCTCGCAGACGGCACTTCACGCAGGAGTTTGGCCTCTTATCAGTTGGGCTCAGACGGCTTTCAGGAGGCACTCGTCGCTTCGAGGGCACCCCCGGAGGCAGCCTCCCCGTCCCCAGAGGTCCCCGGCGAGGTCCTTGTGGGCGCACAGCATGTCTATGAGCGCGCTTACAGCCAAGACGCTCAAAGAAGGATCCTTTCGGGTCCAGGGCCTCTGGCTCTCGGGCCGTGCCTCGGACCGAGGACGGTGACTGCAGCGCCGCCGCCCCCCACGCGTCTCGCCGAGCGCGCTCCGCTGCTCGCAGATCCACTGCTCGCAGCTTGCCTGGATCCTCCACGGGGCACCTGCGCGATAACATATGCGCAGAGGAGGACCTGTACATCTTTCGGGCGTTTGCGCGCAGGGGGGGTCGCCTGAGGGGACTGCGAGCACGGGAGGGGGAGGGGGGGGGAGCGCCGCCCGCGAGTCGCGGGCGACTCGGCCGCGTGGCCTGCCTGCGGCCTGGAGTGGCCTCGCAGCGCGGCCCTCGCCGCCGCGCCATGGTGTGCGCGCATCCGTGCCCAGCAGCGTGATGCCTCGGTGCAAGCGTGTCGGTGGCCACGGGCATGGACGGGCCCGCTGTGCACATAGGGAGCTGGTGCACGAGAGGCCGGAGGGCTCGCCCTGCGGGGTCTGCTCCTCCTCCTCCCTGCCTCCTCCTCTCCTGAGCCGGATGAGCTGGTCGCCGGGGTCTGGCCTAGGCCTCCTAGACCTCCTCCTCCTCCTCCTCCTCCACCTCCTCCTCTCCTGCCTCCTCCTCCTCCTCCTCCTCCCCCTCCTCCTCCTCCCCCTCCTCCTCCTCCGCCTCCCCCTCGTCGTCCTCCTCCTCCTCGTCGTCGTCCTCCTCCTCCTCCTCCCCGATTCGGCCTGGAGCACCTGCTCGCCGCCGAGCTGGTCGTGCCTTGCCGCGCGAGCTCCGTTGCGAGCCCTGCTTGGAGGGTCTTTGGCTTGTTGCTCGTGTGGTCGCTTCGTGGGTCTCTCCCCACGGGCTGCGGCCTGACCTCCTCCCTTGCTCTCGGATGTCGTCCAGGAACGTTCAAAGATCCTCTCGCCGCCTGGGCAGGTCAGGAAGCAACTCCTGGGGGGGTCTGAACGCAGCATCGGCGCTGGGATGTCTGTGGTCGGGGACCAGCCTCATTCGGCATATCCCGTTCAATCCCGCTCAAGTCCGCTTCATCCGGCTTAGCCCAGCGTAGTCCTAGGCGCAATTCAGGTTGATCGGGCCTGTTGGTCCTTATTCGTTCTCGCGAATACCCCCCAAGGGCTGCCTCCTGAGGCATACGGCGCCTGCCCGTCTCCCAGCCCTTTTCTGGAGCGCACTTGTCTCCAAGCTTGTGCCCCCCCGTGCACACTGCGCCTCCCTGTGGGCCAGCGCCTGCTACGACCGGCTCGCGCGTTCGCCGAGCGCGCGACCAAACCCACGTCTCCCAGCCCAGCCTCCGCGTTGCGCGTCTGCTTCCTCCCCCTGCCGTCTGCTCCATCTCTCGTGCCGCTGTTGCCGCAGACGCGCTGCCTGCTGCAGCCCGACGCACCCATCGCACCAGCGGTGCCCCGTGAGGACTTCCAGCCACGGCCTCGGTGAGGCCGCTTTTGCGCGTGGGACCTGCAGCGAAGGCGCGGCACGCCTGGTCCATGCCCCGCAAGGGGCGCTCCGCGTTCCAGCCTCTGGCACGGTGGAGACCCCCGCCAAGAGACGCCCTGCTTGCCTCCAGGGTGCCCTGGGTTTCTAGGGTTTCGATGGCCTTGCGATGGGATACGTGACGCTCCCACACCAGAAACCCAGGGACGTCCTCTAGGGGTCTCAGAGTCGGGCTTCTTGTGGGAGGTTTCTTGAGGAAGGGCCCCTCCTGTAGCTGTCCACCCGCCCTGCTCCCCCTCCTTCCCCTCCCAGGACACTGCTGTCAGCACTTTAGGCTCGAGGCTCGGCGGCTCGCCTGAGCTGGGTTGATTCGGACATGTCTGATCGACGCTCGCATGGTAGGCTTCTTGGTCGAATGGGGCCGTGGTGCCGCCGCGCATGTGGCTGCAAGCGCTACAGAGGCGGGATCGATCGCTTGACCATGACGTTTAAACATCCTGGCCTTGAGACCGGCTTCCTGATTTCAAGAAGACAGCGGTTGTCCGAGTGGTTATCGTTGATGATTATTCTGACGTTTCTCATGTGCTTAGGTGTTGCTCAAGCGCAAGGCTTCTGGAACCCAGACCAGTACCCGACACACGCTTCTGCTAAACTCAGCGTGCGTCAGCCGATACTTTTCCTCAGTGGAATGATGGTTGTGGCAGTGGTGCTATGCGTTGCAAAGGTGCTGGCTCGCAGCAGGTTGTCACATCGCAATGTGATGTTATACATGGAGTTCGGCACGATTTCGGTGAGTTTGATCATGATGCTGGTGACAATTGGCATGAGTCGCTACTACCTCGCGAGAATGTCGGGGTACGAAAACCCCGAAGAAGTGTGGGGCTGCGACCTTGGATATGTGGACGGCCTGAACCTGGTCCTCATGAACCTGCTCGTGGCGTGTGGGCACCTGGCTCCTATCCGCTGGGCGTGCCTGCTCCCGCTGGAGTTTGCGCTGGTGCTCATGTTCGAGCTGCCCATCTACGTGTGGGGCAGCCCCGCTCCGGAAGCGGTCCCGTTCTTCACCATTTGCGCGGTGTGCCTGTCCGTCATCGCGGCCGCGGGAAAGCGGCAGAGTGAGCTGCAGGAGCGGCTCATCTTCAAGGCCCTGCTGGCGGAGAAGAAGCTGCGGTTCGTGGCCGAGCACGAGCTCGCCATGCAGCAGGAGCCGGCCAGCGCGATCAGCACGGAGGTCTCCGCGCTTGGCGATTCCCGCCCGGAGACGACCACCACGGCGCTCGCCTTTGAGATGGACCAGTCTGGCAGCTTGATGGAGATCCGTGCTATCGGTATCAGAGAGCAGTGGTCACGGGAGCTTGAAACGGGCTCTAAGCAGATAATGGAGGATGACGATTAATAAATGACCGGGGGTCGTGTTCACGCGGCGGCGCCCGGGATGATGATTAGAAAAAACTGGCCGCGGGCTGGAAAACTATGTACCTAACAGCTCTTGCTGATAGGTTTCTAGTGGTCTCAAAAGATAGCATCATGACTCCTCAGGGGGGTCTGGGCGGGACCCGGACAGGCTGCCGCCGCGGCTGCCGCCGAAGCCGAAATCGCTTGGGACATCCTCGCAAAATCGCTCTTGGTGCTCCAAGAACTCCACTCCCGGCGTACATTTTGGATGCCCGGAGCCAACTGTAGGCCACTTCGTGCTCTTCGACTTCCCAGAACTCCATTCCCGGGCCACGTTTTGGATGCCCGGAGCCAACCGTACGCCACTTCGTGCTCTTCGATTTCCCAGAACTCCATTCCTGGGCAACATTTTGGATGCCCGGAGCCAACTGTAGGCCACTTCGTGCTCTTCAAGTTCCCAGAACTCCATTCCTGGGCATGATTTTGGATGCCCGGAGCCAACTGTAGGCTCCACTTCGTGTTCTTCCATTTCCAAAACTCCACTCCCGGGAGAGGCCACCTTTGAATGCTGGGATTAAGTATAAGGCGGCCGTGCAGGCTGAGGCTGAGTAAGAGGCTGAGGCTGAGGCCGAGGCTGAAGCAGACTGAGGCTGATGCTGAAGCAGATTTGAGCTGAGTCTGAGGCAGCTGAGGCTGAGGCTTAGCAGGCTGAGGCTAGCAGGCTGAGGCTGAGGCTGAGGCTGATGCGGGCTGAGGCCGAGGCTGCGGCTGAGGCCGAGGCTGAAGGCAGACTGAGGCTGAGGCTGAAGCAGGCTGAGGCTGAGGCTGAGGCAGGCTGAGGCTGAGGCTGAGGCAGGCTGAGGCTGAGGCTCAGGCTGAGGCTGTGACTGCGACTGCCGTTGCCACGCTGCGACTGTCATCGCGAATGCGACTACGACTGCGAGAACAGCAGAATTCTACAACTGGATTATCATATGAATCTTAAGGGGAATGCTTCCAGATGTGCTCCTACACATCGCTGTTAGGTTGCTTTGCCGGGATAATTCTTTTAATCGTTTCCTCCAGTCAGACAAATTTGCAGAAATTGCAGACAAAATTTTACCTAACAGCTCTTGCTGATAGGTTTCTAGTGGTCTCAAAAGAGAGCATCATGACTCCTCAGGGGGGTCTGGGCGGGACCCGGACGGGCTGCCGCCGAGGCTTCCGCCGAAGCCGAAATCGCTTCGGACATCCTCGCAAAATCGCTCTTGGTGCTCCCAGAACTCCATTCCCGGGCCACATTTTGGATGCCCGGAGCCAACTGTAGGCCACTTCGTGCTCTTCGACTTCCCAGAACTCCACTCCCGGGCCACATTTTGGATGCCCGGAGCCAACTGTAGGCCACTTCGTGCTCTTCGATTTCCCAGAACTCCACTCCCGGGCCACATTTTGGATGCCCGGAGCCAACTGTAGGCCACTTCGTGGTCTTTGAGTTCCCAGAATTCCATTCCTGGGCATGATTTTGAATGCCCGGAGCCAACTGTAGGCCACTTCGTGGTCTTCGAGTTCCCAGAACTCCATTCCCGGGCAACATTTTGATTGCTGAGGCAGGCTGATGGTGAGGCTGAGGCAGGCTGAGGATGAGGCAGGCTGAGGCTGAGGCCGAGGCTGAAAGCAGACTGAGGCTGAGGCTGAAGCAGGCTGAGGCTGAGGCTGAGGCAGGCTGAGGCTGAGGCTGAAGCAGGCTGATGCTGAGGCAGGCTGAGGCACCTGCAAGGGCCGCCGAGGCTGAGGCTGAGGCAGGCCCCCCGGAGCTTGAGGGGGCCCCCCCCCCCCCCCCCCTATGCGCAGGCTGAGGCTGAGGCTGAGGCAGGCTGAGGCTGAGGCAGGCTGAGGCTGAGGCTGAGGCAGGCTGAGGCTGAGGCGGTGACTGCGACTGCCGTTGCCACTGCGACTGTCATCGCGAATGCGACTACGACTGCGAGAACAGCAGAATTCTACAACTGGATTCTCATCCGAATCTTAAGGGGAATGCTTCCAGATATGCTCCTACACATCGCTGTTAGGTTGCTTTGCCCGGGCTAATGTTTTAAATCGTTTTCCCCCCCATCTATTATTTACCTAACAGCTTCTTCGGTTTCTAGTAGTGTTCAAAAGAGAGCATCATGACTCCCTCAGGGGGGTCCTGGGCGGGACCCGGGCTGCCTGCCGCGCTCTGCAGCCGCCACCCAAATACGCCTGAACACATCCTCGCAAATTGCTCTTGGCGGCTCCCGAACCCGTCCCGGGCCACATTTTGGATGCCCGAGCCAACTGTACACTTCGTGCTCTTCGACTCCCAGAACTCCATTCCTGGCGAACATTTTGGATGCCCGGAGCCAACTGTAGGCCACTTCGTGGTCTTCGAGTTCCCAGAAATCCATTCCCGGCGTACATTTTGGATGCCCGGAGCCAACTGTAGGCCACTTCGTGGTCTTCGAGTTCCCAGAACTCCATTCCTGGGCATGCTTTTGAATGCCCGGAGCCAACTGTAGGCCACTTCGTGTTCTTCGAGTTCCCAGAACTCCATTCCCGGGCCACATTTTGAATGCTGAGGCAGGCTGATGCTGAGGCTGAGGCAGGCTGAGGCTGAGGCAGGCTGAGGCTGAGGCCGAGGCTGAAGGAAGACTGAGGCTGAGGCTGAAGCAGGCTGAGGCTGAGGCTGAGGCTGAGGCTGAGGCTGAGGCTGAGGCAGGCTGATGCTGAGGCAGGCTGAGGCTGAGGCTGAGGCTGATGCAGGCTGAGGCTGAGGCAGGCTGAGGCTGAGGCCGAGGCTGAAGGCAGACTGAGGCTGAGGCTGAAGCAAGCTGAGGCTGAGGCTGAGGCAGGCTGAGGCTGAGGCAGGCTGAGGCTGAGGCTGAGGCAGGCTGAGTGCTGAGGCTGAGGCTGTGACTGCGACTGCCGTTGCCACTGCGACTGCCATCGCGAATGCGACTACGACTGCGAGAACAGCAGAATTCGACAACTGGATTTTCATCTGAATCTTAAGGGGAATGCTTTCAGATATGCTTCTACACATCGCTGTTAGGTTGCTTTGCCGGGATAATTAATCGTCATCCTGCATTATCGTTGGCTCTGCAGAGGGCTCCGCGTAGAGCCTCCTGGCCCCCGTGCTGGGGACCTTTCGTTTGCAGCATCTGGGCTCTGCAGAGGGCTCCAACGATAGCCTTGTGGCAATCGACGGGGAGAGTATCTGACAGCCGTCGGCGCCACATGAGCCAAAGTGGTGCCGAAGGTGGACAGACCTCCTACCCTGACACGTCGATTCAGGAATTGGCCGTTTTCGGTTCGCGAGGGGGCGTCGCGGCCATCATTTTTGCGGGTCCAGGTCCGTCGGTGTCGGTCCCATGCCGTTTTCACTAAGGGGAGGTTTACTAAAGGGAGGTTTGTCCACCGCCGATGGAGCCCACAGCAGTGCCCAAAGGCCTCAGCCGGAACTCCCCCCGCGGGCCCACAGGGTGCAGGCGGAGCCGTGCGCAGAGCTCGCGAGCTCCGAGTGGGCACCCCTTTGCAGACCCCGAAGGCTGATCGAGGACTCCGAGGTCAAGACGCTGCCAGACCGAGTTCTTGGCACAGGTGGGTTCGGCCGCGTGGTCGCAGGCTGGACGCTCTCAAACACTCCCTAGACTCTCCCAGGCATCCTCGGACACCCGCGGGCACCATCGTGGTGGTCCAAGTCCAGGTGCCTCGCAGACATCTCAGGTATTGTAGGCACCCCCGAGTGCTCCAAGACCTCGAGCACGGCGCGGGAGTTGGCGGTGAAAAGGCGCACTCCTGGCGGATGGCCAGGTGGCCGCCCCCCAAGCAAGACGCAGAACGGGGTCCCCAGATCATCCTTGGTCTGGCTGTATCCTCCTCCTCCTCCTCCTCCTCCTCTCCGTCTCCGCCTGCGGCGACCTCCTCCTCCTACCTCCTCCTCACTCCTCCTCCTCCTCCTCCTCCTCCTCCTCCTCCTCCTCCTCTCCCACCTCCTCCTCCTCCTCCTCCTCCTCCTCCTCCTCCTCCTCCTCCTCCTCCTCCTCCTCCTCCTCCTCCTCCTCCTCCTCCGTCCATCCTCCTCCTCCTCCTCCTCCTCCTCCTCCTCCTCCTCCTCCCCCTTCTGTCCATATCCCAGTGCCCCTGGCTCGACCCAGAACTCGGCCCCGCTGGGCGCCAAGCGCCCTCGGGGCGCCGCCAGCCGTGCCCGCGCGCCCCGAGCACCCCCGGAGCTTAGGAGCAGAACCAGGCAACCCAGGGCACCCAGAGGAGGCGGAGGAGGGGGAGGGGGAGGAGGAGGAGGAGGAGGAGGAGGAGGAGGAGGAGGAGGAGGAGGAGGAGGAGGAGGAGGAGGAGGAGTGGAGGAGGAGAGGGAGGAGGAGGATGGGAAGGGGGAGGAGAGGAGGAGGAGAGAGGAGAAAGGAGGAGAATTTCTGGGATACGCTCGAGGAAGAGGAGGATGGAAGAGGAGAGGAAAGGAGGCGACGAGGAGGGGGAGGAGGACGCTGAAACAAGGACCATGGTCCGCTTCGGGTCGGGAACAGGGGCTCGCCGTTCCCTTTGTCATTCCGTGCTTGTGCCTCGAGCCCTGCTTGTGCGCTCAGGCTCTCTTGGTGCTTCCTATTGAATCGCTTCGCTCACTCCGCAGGCCCAGATTGTATCAATGTTGCTATTTGTTGGCGTGCTCGTGGTGAGCGAGGAGGAGCAGGAGGAGTAGGAGGATGAGGGGGTGGAGTAGGAGGAGGCGCAGGAGGAGGAGGCGGAGGAGGAGGAGGAGGAGGAGGAGGAGGAGGAGGAGGGGAGCCCTTGGGAGCCGCTTGGGAGTCTCTTGGAGTTTCCTGGAGGCTTCGTTGAGCCCCTTGGGCGCCTCTTCGGGAGCTCTTGGGGGCCTTTGGGTATCTCCTGGGGGAGTCCAGCCCGAAGTGTCCAGAGCTCCCAGGAGCTTCTTGGGAGCTCTCGGGGGCTTCTCGGGAGGCTCTCCAAGGCGGTCTTGGAGGGTTCCTGGGCCTTTTAGGACCGTGTTGCGGCCTTCTTGGGCTGCCTGGAGGCCCTCTTGGAAGTCTCTTGGGCTGGCTTGGATCGGTTTGGGAGGCTGGGCTCGAAATGTCCGTTCGGGCTCCCCGTCTGGGCTCCCTCTTGGGGCGGTTCTGGGGCCATCTTGGGCTGTCTTGGAGGCCTCTTGGGCTGTCTTGGGGCCATCTTGGGCCGTCTTGGGACCTTCTTGAAGCTTTTTTTCGGGGGGCGATGTTGAGGGCCTCTTGGGCTGTCCTGGAGCGTCGGGAAGCCGCACGGGCGAGAACGCCCGAATCCTTCAAACACCCAAGGCAAATCAATCATTGTTTTCTCCTGGGGCTCTCCGGAGACGCTTCTTGGAGGCGTCTGTAGGCGTCTTGGAGGCATCTGCGGCCGCGTGGAGGCGATCTTGGGCGTCTTGGACCGATCGGTCGGCGATTCGGAGCCCTCTTGGACCATCTTGGGGGCCTCTTGGGGCCCTCTTGGAGCGCTCTGAGGGTGCGGAAAACCGCCCTGGGGAGTTCTGGCATCCTTGGGCAGACCTTTCCAGGAGTCTGCTGGGACCTTGCCGGGAGTGTGCCGGAACCTCGCCAGGGTACTTTTCGTCCGGGGAAGCCCCAGGGGCCGTTTCGCGCACGCGAACTAGAAGTACTGTTGATTGACCAGTTGCCGGAGATCTCAGCACGCCGCTGGCCGGTTGGGCCGGGGAATCCCACCAGCCCTCTGGGCGTCGGTGGTTTAGAGAGTTTCCTCTTCCACCCCTCCTTCTTCCCTTTCGGGGAGGGGTTTACCCCTCCCCTTCGGGGAGGGGTTTACCCCTTCCCCTCCCCCGCCCCACCGACCTGGACAGGGGGGTTCGCGAGGTGTCAGGGCGTCCAAAACGGCCTCGGCGAGGAAGCCACAATCATTGATTCTACTACGGTTTTGGCTCCATTTTGGCCTCTTGGGGGGGCGACTGTAATCGGTAACCCCCCCTCCTGTGATCGATCTCCTCCAAGATGGCCCCAAGAAGCGCCCAGGAGGCCCCAAGAGGTCCCAAGATGGTCCCAAGATGGCCCCAAGAGGCCCCCAAGAGGCCCCCAGGAGGCCCCCAAGAGACCCCCAAGAGGCCCCAAGAGACCCCCCAGAGGCACCCAAGATGCTCCAAGAGGCCTCGGCGAGAATGCCAAATCATTGATTTCACGAAGGTTTTAGCCACGTGTTGGCCTCTTGGGGGGGCACTAATTAAGATGACTCCAAGAGCGCCTGGGAGAGCCCACAATTACCTTCCAAGATGGCTCAAGATACCCCAATATGTCTCATCATGGCTTCCTCTGTGTGCTGCCCAATTGCCACATCGAGGCAATTCCTCTGGGCATCGTTTCTTGATGGGCTGGTGGGATTCTTTTTTGGGTTAGCGGCTCCAAGGCGACCGCCAGGGAGCGGGAGCGACGTCCGGGGCGGCGGAACGGTGCGAATTTGCGAACACGGCCGCCAGTGTCGGCGAGCCAGCTCGCATAACAACAACAGAAGCTGGTGGGGATTCGCGAAGCGTCAACAATTTCCTTTCGGCGCCTCCTTATTTCAGGAGCCCGATTGTGCCCGGAGGAACCAGGAGCAGGTGCCCGTAAGCGGCACTCGGGAGCGGATCAGGACCCCGTGGGCGTCCTTGGGCACAGGACCCGCCCCTATCTCCCTGGGGGCGCCCTTGTGCTGGAGCCATGGCCCAGTGGCCCTGGCCAGGCGCCGAGCCAGGCCCATGAGTGTCCTTGGGCACAGGGCGTCCCTGCGGGCGTCCTTGGGCATGTAGCTAGGGCTCAGCGAGCCTGGTGGAGCACAGAACCAGGCTCCTCCTGGGTGCAGATCAAGGCAGATCCAGGTCCCAGTGGACGCCTTGTGGCCACAGAGCCAGGCCCCTCCAGACACTCTAGAGGGCACCCCCAGACGCCCGCGTGTGCCGCCGAACTCTTTCTGGGCAGCGCCGCTCCGAAGGCCTCTACCACAACACGCCCGTTGCCGTCAAGGTGCCCCGGCAGGACATCGAGATTGACCTCTTGCACGCGAGCCTCCCTGCGCTCTGCAACGAGCTGCGGATCCTCCGCCGGCTCCGGCACCCCAACATCGTGTTCCTCTACGGCGCCACCATTTGCGAGCACGGCGCCTCGTGCGGGCACAGTGCTCCGTGCACCACCTCGATGGCGTCCCCCTCCCTCGGGCTCTGCCTCGTGCTCGAGCGCGTGGACGGAGTGTCCCTGAGGCAGTTCATCACCAGGGAGGGCGGCGGAGGGGAAGCGCTGGGGCATCCGACCCGGAGCAGCATCACCGTCACCGGCGATCGGGCGCGGATTGTGCTCGACATCCTGAACGCGCTGCGCTATCTGCACTCGCGGTCCCCCAGAGTGGTTCATGGCGACCTGAAGGACTCCAACATCTTCGTGCAGCAGGTGTGCCTCAACAGCGGCACCACGACGCGCGCGAAGCTGCTGGACTTCGGCCTCGCGCGCCTGCTCACTCGCTCGGCGCAGCCTCTGGGCGGCACCAAGCGGTGGATGGCCCCCGAGTTGTTCGAGAAGAACAGCGTCCCGCCAGACGGTGCAGCGGATGTGTACTCGCTCGGCCTGCTGATGTTCTTCATCGCGACGGGAAGGGTGCCCTTCGAGGACGTTCGCACCAAGGAGCTGGCCCGAAAGAGGGCCAAGAAGCGCCCGCTCCACCTGTCCTGGCCCACCGACGGCCGCGGCGAGCTGCAGAGCCTGCAGTGCTGGTGCATCGCGTCGGTGGAGCGGTGCACGCAGGTGTTCTGCGACCCATTGCGAATCCTACTTACCCCTGCGGGTCCACACGACGCTGGGGTACCAGACCCCCCCCCCGCTTAGATTTCCTGCAGACATCCTTTGAATTCTGACCCCCAGACGGCGTTTCAGAAGTCTGACCTGCAGGGGCGGAGGAGGAGGAGGAGGAGGAGGAGGAGGAGGAGGAGGAGGAAGAGGGGGAGGAGGAGGAGGGGAGAAGGAGGAAGGACAGAAATCTGGATTTCAGGGGGCCCCGGAGGAGGAGGAGGAGGAGGTGAGGAGGAGGGGAGGAGGTGAGGAGAGGAGGAGGATCAGAAATCTGACCTGCAGGGGCGGGTACAGGGCTCATATGTGGTGGCTCAGGTGTGGCCGGAGCAGCGGCCGGGCGTCGAGGCCGTCTGCGACGAGCTCTCTCGAGGGCTCGGCACCTTAGGCACCGGGGCTCAGAGCAGGATCAGATGCCGATCCCGCTGCTCGTCCCTCCTCCCTCCTCCCTCCTCCCTCCTCCCTCCCCCCTCCCGCCTCCCCCCCCTCCTCCTCCCTCCTCCCTCCTCCCTCTCCCTCCCTCCTCCCTCCTCCCCTTCTCCCTCCTCCTCCTCCCTCCTCCTCCTCCTCCTCCCTCCTCCCTCCTCCCTCCCTCCCTCCTCCCTCCTCCCTCCTCCGCCTCCCTCCCTGCCCCCTCCCTCCTACCCCCTCCCTCCTCCCTCCTCCCTCCCTCCTCTCGGAGCCCTCCCCCGCCGCGCCGATCCTGCTCGGGCCGTTGCAAAGCGCATGCGGGAAGAGACGCCGCCCCCGGGGGGGGACCCCCCCCCCCCCACCGGCCGCGGTGCGGCAGGGAGCAGCGGTGCGGCAGGCTCGCGCGGCGTCGGCGCGGCGGCGGCCCGATCGTCCTCCTCCTCCTCCTCACGCCTCCTCCTCCTCCTCCTCCTCCTCCTCCTCCTCCTCCTCCTCCTCCTCCTCCTCCTCCTCCTCCTCCTCCTCCTCCTCCTCCTCCTCGCAGGCTGGACGCCGCCAGTGGCCCTGGATCGTTCGATGAATCTGGACGCCCGAAATGGGTACTGAAAGAATGGGTGCTATGCCCAACGGCAGTTCCTGTTCATTTTGAGCAGGCCTCGCTGTCCGCGCCGCCGCGGCCTGTGTCCATTCTAGACAGGAGGCCGCCCGCCCAACAGCGGCCGCTGTTGGTTTGGGACAACATTTGCTGTTGGGCATAGTACCCATTTTTTCGGTACCCATTTTGGGCGTCCAAAATGAACGATCTGGCGGTTGGAATGCCGCCGACCGTTCCAGGTGGAATGATCCACGCGGTGTCAGCAACCAGTGCCGACGCCATCGCGGTACGAGCCTGCCGTATCGGTCTCTTCTGGTTCCCCCAGGGGCTGGGGCCCGCTTGGCGGAAGAGGACGGCTCTCCCGAGCGGCCCGGCGCCAGCGGCAAGCTTGCCACCGACGGCGAGCTGGACACCGGCGGCGCGCCAGACCCTGGTCTGGCCCCAGTGCACAAGGTCGGGCGTCGAGTAATGGGGGTGCGATGACGGGGCGGTGAAGAGAGCTGAATTTTTGTACCCGAAGAGGCCCCCGTGGGGCCCACAAGGGGCACGAAAGGTGCACGTTCTCCCCCCTCCATTTATCGCCCGCCATTGCTTAACGCCCGACGAGGGCGTGCCTGGCCGAGGCGCTGCCGCTCTGGTGCCCCCATCCTGCGAGCCAGTGCTGCAGGGCACGAAATGCACTCTCTGACCCAGTATACCCAATGTCGTGGGTGGTCGAGACACCGCCGGGAGCCCCCACCCGGCGAGCCCGCGCTGCAGAGCACGAGGTATAATCTCATGCTGGCGCAGTGCTGTATGCGCTCTTGGGGCTCGCTTCTGCGCGTGCCGTTTCTCCTGCGTTGTGTGCTGCTGTAGATGCCCGTTGTTCCGAGGCGCCCACCCCGCTGCTCTCGGTAGTTGGAAGGCCCACGGCCCCCGCTGTGCCTACGCGACGCCTAACGGCGCCTGGGTCCAGAGTTCTGGACTACCGCTGCTGCGCATAGGGATCCGGACGACGGGGGGCCTGCGGGGGGCTCCCAGGTGCAGCTCCCTGGCCTCTGCTCTGTGTCTGTATCTGTAGTCTGAGGAGGGCCAATCGATGATGAGCTTGTTGCCCACCACCACCACAAGTTGGAGGGGGGAAGGGAGGTGGAGGATGACAAGGAGGAGGAAGAAGAGGAGGACCCCCACCCACCTCCAACTTGTGGTGGTGGTGGTGGAAAGCAGGCCCATCAATCGAGACAACGGCGGCTCTCCCGCCCCGTCGGCTGCGCCGTCGACTGAGAGAGGGATATGGATAGAGAGAGAGAGAGAGAGAGAGCGAGAGAGAGAGAGAGAGAGACACGGGCACCGGCGGGAGTCCGTCCGACGGCCGAGCGGGCAAGCGGCTGTCGCCGTCCCCTCTTTGGTCTTTAGGGCTGGATGGCAGCAAAGCAGGACGGGGGTGGCCCTAACGGACAACCTGCCCCCCGCCTTGCTCATCTGTCGACGCAGCTGTGCAGGCGTGACACGCCAGCGACCCGAGTATGACTGCGGATCTGTGGTCGGGAGCGGCGAAGCCGCGAGGGGCGATAGACGGTGTTGGCACGACGCCCTCTCATTGGTGGGAACGAAGCGCTTAGGGGCACCTCTCGCTAGCGCTCAAGCATCACTCCATGGCCAGAGCGCCAGGCTGTGACGTTGGGCGCAGGAGGCAGCACTGATGGCTGCCAGGGGGTCGGGGGAGGTCCTGCCTGGCTGCCAGGGCAGCCTGTCCCAATCGGCGTGCTAGGCAGAGGCGTGAGCGGCCTTAGTGGCAGCTGGGGAGGATTTTCCGAGAGCAGCACAAACGGTCCCCGCGTAGGGGGTGGAACATAGGCCTCCCCTCGCACCGAGGGGGTGGCAGCACCCATGCGCCGGCGACCGGGCCCGAGGGCACGGGCGCTCCCCGAACCTCCAGACCACCGAGCCAGCCACGCCCAGGGGCGGCGAAGCAGGCAAGTGGGTCCAGAAGGATCGTGGGGAGGGCGCAAGGGCCTTCCACCGCAACGGCACAGTGAGGAGGGTTCTCCCTCGGGGGGGAGCGCCGCAGGAGCTGTTGCCCGTGTGGCCGTGGCTGGCCGACTGGCCCGAGTGGACATCCTGGTACCGCGCGACCGCGTAGGACAGGGCGTCGTGGTGCACGTCGCGATGGTGCGAGCCACCGTGGTGCTGCAGGAAACCACTGTGGTGTACACCACTCGGCGTAAATGCGATGGAACTGCTAGGTTGCAGATGCCAGGATGCCGCCGGGGTGCCCAACCCCGTCGTGCGCGTCGTGGTCCTCTAGACACCGTAGGGTTGGGTGTCGCCGTGTTCCGCGTAGTACTAGTAATAGTAGTAGTAGTAGTAGTAGTAGTAGTAGTAGTAGTGATTAAATAAAAAATAGTGTTGTTAAGAAGGCTGGGCAGTAGTAGTGAGAGTAAGTAGTAAGTAGTATAATGTAGTAGTAGTAGTATGTAGTAGTAGTAGTAGTAGTTGTATTAGTAGTAGCTTTAGCTGCAGTAGAAGTAGTACAGAAGTAGTAGTAGTAGTAAATAGTAAGTAGTAGTAGTAGTAGTAGTAGTAAAGCAGTGAAGTTAGTACTTGCAGTAGTAGCAGTATCGAGTAGTAGTATTAGTATAGTAGTGGTAGTAGTATAGTAGTGGTATAGTA